TATCATGTATTATTAGGACCCGGGTTGAATGAATCCCATAATCCATATCCCCGTAATATAAGGGATAATAAATGAATGTCATGTACTACAAGGACCCGGGTTGAATGAATCTCATAATTAATATCCCCTTACAATAAGGGATAGTAAATAAATATCTTTTATTAAAGAGGTGCGTTGAGTAAAACTCGTAAAGTTCAATTCCCTTACTAAAGGGACGAGCTGAGTAAAACTCGTAAAGTTCAATTCCCTTATTAAGGAGTGAAACTCATACAATTTATTCCCTTTTCAAAGGAAGAGTACTGTTCCCTCCGGTGTAAAAAAAAAAATCATGAGTTCCTATTCACGTGAATAGTGCCCGCGAGAATAGTACACGCGGGTACTGTTCACAGGGGTTTGAAAAAAAAAAAAAAAATCATGAGTTACTATTTATGTGAATAATACCTGCAGGTACTGTTCACAGGGGTTGAAAAAAAAAAATAATAATTATTATTATTTATTACATTCCCAAAGCTAAACGTGCAAACTTGGGAATGGGGGGCAACTGATAGGGAAAAATATAAACATACCTTACCCTCGATAAGATTGATTAGGATAATGAAATCAAATCTGACGTGGTTTAACAGGTAAGAATAATCCTACTATAACTGGAGGAGGTCAAAAGGATTAAATCATATCCCCGACAAATCTGGCAATAAATCTCCTATGATTTCGTACAAGCGAAAGATAAGATTGACCATCGACATCGGCAGAACGATTTTGATTCCAATCGACAGCCATAAATAGGGCACCAAGCCATTAAAGAAGGGACGAGGTAAAAAACTATTATTAATCTCTGCCTTCTTTTTAGACATTCGTGACTAATTTGATCGTCGGAGAGCTCTTGGCAGGCACCACACCGGTACCGTCAAGGTTCGTCAATCTTCTCCTCTCTTCCTTGCAGGAAAACGGTATCGTATCGAACTGCGCGAATTTCAGCCTCAACAGATGAAAAATCCCATAAAATCAATTTAAGCTATTTAAAGTGTAAGAAGTAATTATCGGAAAAAATTATTTTGAAAATATCTTTATTTAAAAAAAAATCATATTTTCCATACTTAGCTAAAAAACCAAGAAACAATTTTTCATAAAAATTTCCGAATCGTAAAGTCATTTACCAAGTCATGGTAACAAAGGCTTTGTGGATGAAAAAGTAAGTTCAATGCCGTAAACTCTACTTTCTAGAGACCAAAATAAAACATATGATCAATTGGTGTACATGATCTTACCATTTCTAGCTCAAGTATTGAGTTCTTTCAAAGCTTATGCAAACTTGAACTAACTTATTCTTTTAGCAATGATTTCATGTGTCTATTGCTAGTGTATATAGGAACATGCATGTGAATGATAATATGATATGCATAGTCCTATAAAGATGAGCTTCAAATGGATTCATAAATACTTTGACATTGAATCATAAACACTCCCATACTATCTACTCATTTCTTTAAGCTTTGTTCATATATGATTGTTTAAGCTTTGAGGTATTCTTGCTTTCTTCCAATTTCTTTGAGTTGCTTATTTGCTCATTAATTGTAGTCCAACCTATCTTTGGATAGACTTGCAATATTTGGTTTCCTTGCAACTTAATTTATGTCTCTTTGTATCCATTCTTTTCCATTGATGTGATCGCTTCATTGAGGTCAATTTTTGAAGACGAATCATCTATAACACTCAATGTATATAATTAAACATTAATCCACAAACACCATTAATAGTTTGTAATCACCAAAATCACTAGATTGTCCTTGGTTAAAGGCTTTGTGCCAACAAAATCCTACATACTTTTAAGATCTTTTATTCCATTTAATTCCCAAATAACTAAATCTTTTATTTATACCCTTACTAAATAGAAGTAAAATTTATTTAAGATTTGATATATGATCTATATTTTTTATTATATCTTTAATTTTTAATTACTTATAAATATTGCATTATGGATTTATATATATATATATATATATATATATATATATATATATATATATATGATTAATTTAAATTCAATATAAGAATATTTGGTATGTTTTTTTTTTAATCTTTTCTGTATGACAAGTAATAATATTTAAAAAGAGTCAAATTTAAAGGAAATGCCATTTTGGATTTTTATTAATAATTAATTAATTTGCTTAGGGATTCGGTGTTCTAGGCCTCTTATTTAAGGAATTATAAAAACTAAATAAATAAATAATAGTCAACAAAGATATCCTAATTGCCATGAAAACAAATTCGTTGACAAAAATGGCATTTCACCACAAGGATTGAAAATTCGTGGCAAAATAGCTCCTAATTGCCACGAAAACAAATTCGTTGTAAAAAAAATATTTCGCCACAAGGATTGAAAATTCGTGGCAAAAGACGCTTTTTGCCACGAATAAAGCATTGTTGCGAATAACTACTAGATTTGGCACGAAATTAATTTCGTGGCAATAGAGCATATCATAGCCACAACTAATAATTTGTGGCAATATCCATCTTTTAGCCATGAGAAAAAAACTTCGTGCCAAAAAATTATATTTGCCACAAGAATAATATCATGGCAAATTGTAAAGTGATTTGCCACGAAAATATATTTGTGGCAAAAGAAACATACAATTGCCACAAATAGAATTTTGTGGCACAAATAGCATTTTGCCATAACTTTGTATGTCGTCCCTAATTCGTTGTGGCAAAATTGACATTTTACCACAAATTTTTAGGTCGTCCCTAATATTCGTGGCAAGAACTAGTATTTGCCACGAAAAATTTACTCCGTGGCAAACACTCATATATTAGCCACAAGAAGTTTATTTTGTGGCCAAAAGGTACTTTTTGCCACAAAATTTTACGCATGGCAAAAAATTTCGTGGCAAGAGCCCAAATTTGTTGTAGTGGTTGTTAAACTTATGGAGTTTTGGAGTATCGAATTTTAATAATTATATTTTGAGGATTTTAAATTAGCATTCCTTCAGTTTATTACTTTTATTTCTTATTTCATTTTGTATTCTGTATTCGGTTACATATTGATTGTTTGATATTCCCTCGGGTTTGGGCCTAGGCCTCATCAACCCGTGTCTCAGATCCGAGGGGTATCACAGGGGTGGAGTTCAAATTTCATTTGGTTAACTGGGAGCAAGTGTGTCATCTAATTAAGAATGGTGGGTTGGGTATCATAAAACTAGTGCATTTTAATAAGGCCCTTTTGGGGAAATGGTTATGGAGGTTTGGTTTAGAGAGGCAGAGACTGTGGAGAAATGTGATTGTGAGTAGATTTGAGGAGGACAGAGGTGGTTGGTGTTCGCTTGAGGTGAGACGTCCCAATGGAGTTGGCGTGTGGAAATTCATCAGAAAGGGATGGGATGAATTTTCTAAGCATATTAGGTTCCGAGTCAGCAATGGTAGCAGAATTCGTTTTTAGGAGGGTGTTTGGTGTGGGGAGCGGTCTCTTACTCTCTTCTATCCCAAACTCTTCAGGATTGCCACATACAGACTCGCCTTGGTAAGTGACTGCTATCGTCTTGACAGTGGTACGTAGATCATCATGGGATGTGCATTTTTCAATGCATTTTTCAAGATTGGGAGATTGAGGAAGTAGTTAGTTTTCTAGAGTTGTGTTCTATCATCAAGAGATTATGGGTGGAGTACCTAATTTTATGGTATGGGTCCCCTTTTCTAGGGGTCATTTTGAGGTTATCTCATTCTTTAGATGTTTTACGAATTCTTCAAGAGATGCATTCTCATGGAAGACTATTTGGCGTTCTAAGGCCCCCCTCAAGGTGGCTTTCTTTATTTGGACATTTGTGTTGGGAAAGAAATTGACTCAGGATAACCTTAAAAGGAAGATACAAGTTGTGGTCAACTGTTGTTGTCTATGCAATAGAGACGAGGAAAAGGTAATTCATCTTACATTGTCCAGTGGCTTGGGTTTGCTCGGCTTTGATGTTTGGCTTGTTTGAAGTTCAGTGGGTTAGGCCTAGATCTACTAGAGGCTTGATTAAGGTCTGAAGAGGCTAGCTCATGGTGCTCATGTTTGTGAGTTTTGGAGGATCACGCATTTGTGTGTCTGGTGGTGTTTATGGCTTGAACAAAATAGGAGATTCTTTGAAAGGAAGGAGACTTCTATTGGTGTGTTGAAGTATTTCATTATTAGCTCTATTTTCTTTGAAGAGAGAGTGGACTTTATAGACTTTTTGAGATATTAGAGGCCCTATTCGTCTTGTGTAACTTTTCAAGGATGCATTCCCTTATTGAATGCTTCTTTATATATAATCTTACTTATAAAAAAATAAAAAATTTATATTCCAATGGGGTTTAAAGCAATTTACTTATTTTTTCCTTTATTTAATAACAGTTATAATGTCAACACTAAATAGTATTCTAAGTTTGTTTTTTCTTTTTTCTTTTTTCTTTTTTCTTTCTCATTTAACAGTATTATAAGTTAAAGAAATTTCTCTATTCACATTCAATGGAGGCAAAATACTAGTGGTATAGAGAAACAGGTGAAAACAGATAAATTAAAGCTGAAGTAAGTGGAACAAATTATTCTGTGTATCTTGCTTATTACAAAGGAAAAAAAAAAGGGACTTCACAGATGTACAGCAATGAAGTAGAAATTGATGCATCATATGTATATTTCATAGATGTAGCACAATGGAACAGAAATTGGCGAGCTCAAAAATGAATCTCAGTTCACTAATTTAAATCACAAGCAATTTCGAATAAGTTTCTTCTCAATCCAATAGATCGACAAGTTTCAAAATTGGATCAAACCTGGTTTTACTATTTGATTTTGGGCGAATTTTCAATCCCGCGAGCCCCTAGCTTGGTTATTCTTATAGGTTTAAAACATTTATTTCTTTCTCATCGTCAATTCATTTTTCCAAGAATACTTTTCTATCCCCACTCTCTTCTCTTCCAATTTCTAATCTTCCATAACAAATAAAAAATCACCAGTATTGAGACCACATTGGAGAAATGAAGCCGAGTTAGGACGAGTCGATGACCCAGTGTTCCCCGTCGATTTGGACTCGGAGACCATTGACTCGGGCAAACAAATCCACAGCTCTTTTAACACCTTTATTATCAAGTGGAAGGAAATAGTCATGCCCAAACAAAACACCACCGGGTCTTAACAATTTGTAAGCTAGGTTTATGTCTACCCAGGCGGAGTGAAAGTCATGACCCGCATCCACTTCAATTAAATCGGCAAACACACCCCAACGGCACAGAACATCCAGAGTTATCCAGGAGGAAAACGGCAGGAACAACACCGACTCGGTTGCGTTTTCATGCACCACGTTTTGCATGAACTGGTACATAAGCAACAAGTCGCCGTTTATCATCGGTATATCCCCTTCCTCCTCCACGACTTCTTGGTGGTGACGGCCCCAGGGCTGGCCGCGGAAATCGTCGATGCATATTATCTGAGTTCCGAGGCCGAGTCCACTCGCCAACTCGGCCATGTGAGTCGCCGACGCGCCCAAGAACGTGCCCACCTCAATTATGACCTTGGGTCGGACTCTGCGGATTAGGGTCTCGAAAACGGAGTTGTACGAGTCCCACCCTTTGATTCTCTTCTCGCGGAGGAAGGGGCTAACGTGCGCCGGGGGAAAATTGTCGTACGGGGACACGCCGTCGAACAATCGGTCGAGAAGCATTTGGCGCACGAGATTGGAAGGAACTGGGTCGTTGCTGCAACGAGTAGCGAAACGGTAGTGGTCGTCGAGGCCGCCGCCTGCGGCGGCAGCGTTGTCTGAACTCATTAGTTGGGTGGGAGAGCAGGGTGATGACCTGCCGGATGGAGCGGAGAAGTAACCCAAGATGTAGGATAGGAGGAGGAGGATGAAAAAATACGCAGTGGGCTTGGTGAACTTTTGGCGGGCAAAAGCGGTGGCCTTTCTATGGTGGTGGTAGAGTGGTTCTTGTTGGTCTTCTTTCATGTCGTCTTTCATGTTTCTTCTTGCTTTTCTTTTACAATTCAATCTTCTGCTTTTTAAATAGAGAGAAGGCTTTGTTATGGACGTACGTTGACGTTATGTTTCAAATTTACTGTGTTTAATTAACTTTATGTTTATGAAAGACTTAAAAGTCACTTTACAACACTAATTTTAGAGTTTTAAACCTGACATTATTTAAAACTGAATTTAATTTTATATTAAATTCATTACATCATATGCATTTACTCTGAACACAATTCGAGAGAGAGAGAGAGAGAGAGAGAGAGTGAGTGTTTTGACATTAAAGTTATGAGACAAGTATTTTCAAATTATTGAACTTCACCATAATTACTTATTGAATTTCACCATAATTACAGGCGGAGCCGGTTCATATCGGGGGCACATTTCTCCTTGGCTTGGCCGTTTATCATATTATTATAGTTAATTTTTGAACTTTTTAAGGGACTAACAATATGTAAGTTTGGGGGTGTAACGAGCGCTGAATATTATATATTCGAGCCCCTAAAGATATGTATGTTAAGACCTAAAGTGATACTTCTATCTATTATTATACTCACTTCTGTATAATTCGTGTTTTTAGGTACTTTCCCAAATGAATAGTTAAAACCGGGTTTTTATGATAAAAAGAATGATAAGGAAGTTTACCGAGTCGTTACCGGTCATTCAAAGGAAGCCGAGAGTCAAAATGATGAATTTTGGGGAATTTCAAGTTCAGAAGCTCAAGCCTCAGTTCTATGGCTCGAGCACAACAGATAAAAACAAGAAATTCCACAAAGGCAAGAAAGCTCAAGCCCTGACCTTCAAAGCTCGAGCCCAACCACAGGGTGCTCGAGCCTTTGCCTAAGAGTTCGAGTACATGATGCGTCGGAATTGAAAAGTTGATCTAAACTCCAAGGACCTCGTGCTAAGCCTTAGGGATCGAGCACATGTTCAAGAAACTCGAGTCCATAGCCCTAAAGCTCGAGCCCAACACCTTGGGATCGAGCACCATGAAGAGGGGATCTAGCGTCATCAATAAAAGACGTTTCGGACAAATTTTGCTCCCAGAGCTCGAGCCCAACTCAGAAAGCTCTAGCACAATCACTCAGGGCTCGAGCATTACTGAAAGTTTTGAACCTATTTCAATATTTTGGGCATAACTTTTGACTCAAAACTCCAAATTGAGCAAACTTAACGGCTCTGGAAAGAAGACTCGAAGCCCGATATTTTTGTCTCTAATAGCCATCTCGAGATTTACACTCTAAATGTGTCAAAATTAGGTTACAACGTCAAAACAAGTTGTTGATAGGTTAAGTTCGAGCCCCGACTCCAGAGCTCGAGCTCTGACATCCTGGAGGTTAAAATTTCATGCGGGAATTATATATTTTGACTCTTCTTTGTTTCCTTATTGGCTTAATTGTTACCAAAAGCTGTAAAACCAATCCAAAGAGGATTGGGACTTGTTCTCCATTATAAAAGAAGAGGAGAAGACACATTAAGGGATCCATCAATCTCTCTCATATCTCTCTCTTACGACGGCTTTTAGAGTTTTGAAGAAGAAGATCCCAAAGGAGTTTTGGCGGTCCATGGCGATGAAGACCACAACAACACAGATGATATCTTATATTGTCATGAGTAGCTAATTCCTCTCTTAGGGCATTGATGTAAACCGAATCCGAATACTATGATTTGATTGTTATGTACTTTGGGAATTTAATATATTATGTATTTTGATTATATGATTATGGGCAATTGAGCCAACTCAATTGGTGTTTAATGAATTAATAGTTTTTGACTAGTTATTACCTTGTTTTAGATATAACAGCTCATAAATTATTTTCAACCCATTCTTATTGGACGATATCTGGGGGAGCCCTGTCGAACATAAGAATAGAGATCATGTAATGGTGTTCAAACATTTTTCTTGAATGAATTCTTTCATAATCTATGCTTAGGGAAGACGAGTTATACTGTAATATTAGTTAAAAGTAGGTAGGTAGATAATTTGTGTCAACTTTTGATAGGTTATAGTTAGAAAATTTCAATGAAACATCTTTCTTTAAATTTGAATTAAACAACTGTTATTGAGTTTAATTCCATATGATACATAATTATTGAAATCCCAAGGTTGAACAGTTGGTCATAGTATGAGATTCGTGGTGAAGTCAATCCTTAACTATTTCTTCTCTTGATCTCAATCATTTTATTCCGTTTATTTTCTTTTATGTTATTGAATTGTAGCACAACACAACAAATCAAATCCTCTTTCTAAATTAAAATAGTATTGATTGAAGAGTCGATAAACCACCACAGTCCTTGAGGTTCGACACCCTCAACATAGCCCTATCGTACAAGGATTCATTCTATTGCAAGTAGTATTTTATTATTGATAAATATAAACACACATCAACCCCCAAAAATGAAAATGTCTCCCAAAGAAGCAATGCACATATACCCCCACAAAACATAATATAAAGAGCATGCTTTGTTATACAATTAAACTATGCACCAACAATAAAATAAATTAAAGTGAATGAGTCTCAAGAGCAAGCCAGTACCTTTTTTACTCATCCAGTGCACAATCCCTACTTCAATACATACAATCCCGGATGGAGGGATCATCTAAATTTCTCGTGGAGAAATCAAGAAGTGAGTGCAAACCCTCCTCATCCTCAAAACTCTCAAGGAAAGTATGTTCCTCCACATCTCTAAAATTTTCATACTCAAGCTTATCATCCTCCATTGTATCATCAAAATGTGAATCGCTCTTCCAATCAAAATCATCAAGCTTCAAATCCTCAATCATACTTTCATCCACCTAAAGCACCTCAAAGGAACTCCGCCTTTGAGGACAAGGTTTTGGTCGCTTTGGGTAATCTCAAGGTGAATACTCAATTGTTCTATTCTAATTCCCAATCAATTGCAAAATTTGAATCCCAAATTGGGCAAATTGTAAATTCTATGAATACAAGGGAGAAGGGAAAGTTGCCAAGTCAACCCGCTTTTATGATGTTCTAAAGCATCTATGTATATCTTGAAAGCCTTTTATTCATATAGGTTTAATGTTAGCTTCATTAAGATATAATTGATATTATTCTTGTATTACCTCTACCATTTTAACTTGTTAGATTTGTGTATAATGCTTGTTAAATGGTGTATGGTTTACCTTATATTTCAACATCTTATGTAATGCTTACATGTTTAAGTTGCTAAGGTATTAGAGACCTTGATTTTCTAGCATGGAGTTAGTCCTTTATTTGATATGTCAGTGTTAGCAAATGCACATATATCACTTATTTGATTTTATCCCATAAGTAGCATTAAAGACTTAGGACATGGAATGCTTGATTCCTAAAATTTGTGTGTGCATGGAAGGTAAACTGTGAGCATTGACTATATGGCTATATTGTGGAAATGGTTGTTGATTTTGGGAGATTCTTGGGACATTGTGACTTAAGAATGTGAGGGTTTGGCTCTCACGGGTGAGCTCGGGCTCCCCATTTGTATAATGGCCACTAGGGTAGTTCCCAGCGAGTTAGTAGCTCAGCAATAGCTATCTTTTCCGATACACAGTGATACGTGTGACTATATGTGTGTGATACTCCTGGATCTCCGGATGCGGGTTGGCCAGGCCCACGCCTGATGACCTGAGGATATCAAAATAATTAGCAATAAACGAACATAGAATACAATTAAGGAAAAACAGGAATAAATAAAAATTTGCTGAAAAGAAACTAAAATGATAATCCAAATACTGAAACCTCAGAATAAAATTAAATTAATAAAGAATTATTCTGATACATCCAAATTCTCCATTTCTAATACAACTTGGGAATCCATCTGGTGGACCCCTAGAAACTCCAACACTGAAATCATCAACCGAAGAACTCCACTGCTAAATCATGAAGAAGCTCCTACGTCGTCGGAAGAATGAGAAGCCGTTTCTGCTCAGCACGAACAAGATCTAAGACCTGGAACCGTTCGTTACCTGAAAAATAATAGTGGGTCAGGCCCACGAACAAGTTCTATCCTAACTACAATCCAAACATAGACTCGATACGCAGATACATCCTAGATATCTCAACCATATCTATATAGTCCATAATAGATAAATATATATCCACACTACAGGACTCTCACTAAACTATGCTGAGGGTCTCAACCTGAATAGAAGGCAACATGCAATACGCACCTGAGTGGGCATGACTACCTAAGCCTAACAGGATATACCTCAACCAACATAGCTAGCTACGCATCCTACTGCATATATGCACCCTAACCAATGATCCTGAGACTCAGGCTCATATCGTGGTACCATAAAAATATATTTAAAATCCATTCATATCCATCCATAGGAAATCCCATAAATCGTTCAACTTGTTCAACTGCACAGACTTATAAAAGAGATCCAATAAGTCGTTCAGCTTATTCAACCGCACAGACTTAAATATAAGGAGAATTATGTTTTTTTTATTATTTTATAATTCGTACCTTTAATCCAAAATTGGTAGGACTGAGTATTTTGAATCAGTCTGTCCCTAGTATGCCATTGTCCCATACCGGTACATACAATCCACAAAATCTATATAATTGATTGAACAGGTAAAACTGTTCACCAATTAAAATCCATAAGGTAGAAATTAGCGTTTTGAGTTAAACCATACCTAGTATGTCACCGTCCCATACCGGTGCATACAATCCTCCATATCCATGTAAATTACAACATATAAATAATAAGTAAGTAATTTACAGTCCAAAACCAAATATCCAAATGATTGCAGAAAGAAGATTCACAATCTCGCAATTAAAATCTAGTATTAATCCAGGTAATTGCATCAAAGAATTTAATATTCTAACAATTAACATCCAAGGCATGCATAGTTCCAATCTAAAATAAAAACCTTATCATGCATTTAAAACAAGTTTTATTAACATACTGGATCCCATTACATTGCTAAAAATCTAATTAAGCAATTAATCCGTCTTCCATCCGTTAACAGCGTAGAAAATTTATC